CAAATTGACTTTTCAACAATTTCATCTGCCATTTCGACTCCCTTCCTCTCGACATGACACGAAAAATAATTTAATACAATTTCATTTTTATTTTTATTTTTTCTTTCTCTCTCTTTCAAAGAGAGAGAGAGAGAGAGAGAGAGAGAGAGAGAGAGAGAGAGAGAGGGAAGTATATAAAGAAAAAGAAAGAATCAATATTTTTTTTTTTTTGCCGTTAAAAAACCGTTAATTCAGTTTAATTAATGAAACCACCATATGACAATTTTTTTTCTCTTTTTCTTTTTCTCTCTTTTATTCACATTCATTAATTAAACGAGCCTTTTTTTTTTTTTAAACAATTTGCATTTTCGTCATTTCCCTTTTCTCTCTCTCTCTCTCTCTCTCTTCCTTTTCATTACCTTTTTTTTTAAAAGGTTGGCAACAAACGATAAATTAGTATCGTAAAATAGTTAATTAAAACCTTCGCCATATTTATATATATACGTATTATCATTAAATAAAATTATTTATTTAAACCAAAACCAAAAAAATAAAAAATAAATAAATAAATAATTAGTTATTTAGTTAATTAATTAATTAATTAATTAAACGAAAACGATTTTAATAACGTCACACCCACGCAAATAATAATAATAATAATTATTTATTTATTTATTTATTTTTTTTAAACGTAACCTCACGTCAAAAACGTTTCCTTTATAAAATCTCGTATTAATAATAATAATAATAATAATAATAATAATTTTTTCATACCGAAACTCGCGTCATGTTGGTAATATATATTTTCTTTTAAAAAAAAAAAAAATTTTCTTTTTTTTTCGAGAAAACTTTTTGGATTTTTTCGGAAAATATTTTTCGTTAAAAAAAAAAGAAAGAAAATTTCAAAAACCGTAAAATGTTTTTCTCATACAAAAACTTTTTATTTAAACTTGTTTTGTTGGTTTTTATTTTTTTGGGGGTGGAGAAAAAGCGGGGGGTGGGGGAAAATTGTGGAAAATTATTATTATTATTATTATTATTATTATTATTAAAAGAAAACTTTTTTTTTTTTTTTTTTTTTTTAACGATCGTTTTTCTCGTCGCGTCTCTGATTTTTCATCGATAAAAATTAAACGAATTTAATCATACTCCTCCATTTTTTTTTTTTCGAATTCGAATTCGAATAATTAATAGAAATCGATCGCGTTATTATCATCATCATCATCATCATTAATAACGAATGGTTTATAAAAAAAAAAAAATTAGGGCAATTAAAATTGTCTACCAATTTAATTTCGGATATATCAAAAATATATTAAATGAAAATGAAAATGAAAATGAAGTGAAAATAAAAGGCGTTGGAAAACTCTCGAGTTTTACAAAAGTGAAGCGTTCAATCATAATTAGCTCATTTCTTCAAGTTTTCAAAAAGAATATCTAGAAAATTTCTCTATTGCTCGTGAGAAAAGCTTTCTGTCTTTATTTAAACAAAAGCTATTGTTTTTCTAAAACATTTCTTTCCCGCCCCCCATTCCCCCTTTCCACCCCCATTTCCCTCGACACACGCACGCACATTACACCCGAATCCCGACGATCTTTCTATTTCCTTTCAAATTTTCTTTCGACCTCGACTTCAAATTTTTTTTTTCTATTTTCCCGACGGAGTATTTATTCTGCCGTCGGAATATTATTATTATTATTATTATTATTAAATTTTAAAACTAATAATATTAATATTAATAATAATAATAATAATAATAATAATAATAATAATAATATTTGTAAAAATTTAAACGACGACGACTGCTTACGTCACTCCGCGGAATTTCAAAAAAAAAAATTGTTTGTCAAATTTTTTTCTCTCCTGTTGTTTGTCTGTTTGTTTGTTTTTCCTACAAATATTTTCTAACAAACAGACGAAAATTGAAATGAAATAAAATTCAAAATGGTTGTTCTCGTTTAAATGCAACACACTCTCTCTCTCTCTCTCATTTTTTTTTTTTTTGTTATTTCTAACTCGCACGGTATAAAAGGAATCCCTTCGTTCTCTCTCTCTCTCTCTTTATCTCTCGCTCCCGCTCTCTCTGTCTCCCCTTTCCCAGTTTTTCTTTTTCCGGTATATTAGAGTTTCGTTTGTCAAGTTACCTTTTTCCCCAACAATTTTATTTTCTCGTTAAAAATGGTTCGATGGCTGTAAAAGCCCTCGAAATTTTACGTGACGTAAAAGCAGAAGACCATTTGCAATAAACGTGCGTGCGTGCGTGTGCGTGTGCGTGTGTGTGTGTGTCAATGTTTTTTTTTTTTACTTCCTTCCCTTCATTTTTTTTTTATTTTAAAACTTTTCCCTATTTTAAACTTTACTTTCTTACAACGCCAACATCATCGCAATCATATTTGTACGATTTCCGTCAAAACGAGATATCGAAATCAAAACGAGATATCGAAATCGAATCGAGATATCGAAATAATTTCATAATCTCATACAATTCTATCGAAAATTTTTCAACATAAAAACCTTTTTAAAAAAAATCGATACAAAGATATTAATTACAAAAACGATAACAACAACAAACAACAAACGATAACAAACAACAACATCAACAACACGGTAAAATCATTAAAATTTTTTTTTTCTCAAAATTAATTCAAAAACCGATTATTATTATTATTATTATTATTATTACGTAAAAGACAAAAAAAAAAAAAAAAAAAAAAAATTATTTTAAAACGATAGAAATTGTAAAATTGAAATTCAAATGAATAATAATGATTTAATGTTTGTTTGTTTGTTTGTTTTGTACGTTTGTACGTTTGCACGTTTATGTAAAATTATTATTGAATTAAAAAAAAAAAAAAAAACATTTTAAAATTTAATTTTTTTTGTGGGGGGGGGGGTTTTGTTTTTCATTTTTCACATCGTCATTGTTTTTTTTTTTTTCATTCAAAAATAATTCAAATGAATATTATTATTATTATTATTATTATTATTATTATTATTTCTTCATTTAGAAAATTTAACGTTTTATTCAAAAATAAAATTAAAAGAAAATTTAATTTCGTGTTTTCCCCTTTTCTCCCTGTCCTTCCCTCCCCTCGCCACATTTTATAAAAAAAAAAAAACCAATTCGCATTTCAGGTTAAAGATTTCTGTGCGTGTGTGTGTGTCCCCTCCCCCTCTCCCTCCCTCCCGGATGGCAGATGTAACAGATGTCGTTTAAATTAACTTTTCCTAATAAATGATTATTTTCGGACATTTCCACGATTGTTTCCCTTTTCCTACAAATTTTCCTTTCTTTCTTTTTGAAACAAACATGATCGACTCGAATTAAACACGACTTTTCCGATTGCATATAAAAAACGAAGAAGTAAAAAAAAAAAATTTTCCTTTTTTTTTTTTTTTTAAAGGGAAAAGGAAAAACTTTGCGACATCGTGAAATCATTAGGGCGTTATTATGAAAATGAATACGTAGACAAAAATGTGATGAAAATGGAAAATATTGAAAATTCAACCATGTGAAATAATAGGTTTTTTTTTTTTCTTCCTTCAGGTTTGAAAATTGATTTGTTATAAAATAAAATTATATATAAGTGGAAGTTTGAAGAAAAGAATAAGAAGAAGAGAAAGAGAGAGAGAGAGAGAGAAAGAAGCAGAAGAAACAAATAATAATAATAATAATAATAATAATAATAAAAAGAAAAAAGTTTTTCGAATTGACGTAATCGAGTCTTATGAAAAATTAAAAAAAAAAAAAATTTTAAATGGTAACGCGAACACGTCTAGAGTGACTCTAAACCGGAAGTTCCGTCCGGAAGTTTCCATTTAATTTGTTTCAAAACAATCTAAATAAAATTTTGTTTGTTGTTTGAAAACAAAAAATTTGATTGTAAAACACACAAACACACGCGAATCAATAAACCTATTATTATAAAAAAAAAAAAATTTTAAATAATCGCGCCATTTTTTTCCCCCTTCTATTCCTCCTCCTCCTGGTAATAATAATAATAATAATAATAATAATAATAATAATAATAATTTTTAAAAAAAGGCTTAAAAACAATAAAGAAGAAAATAAAAAAAAAAAAAAAAGAAAAGAAAAGAAAGGAAAAACTTTTCCTTCGGGATTTTTTTTCCTCTTTTTTTTTTCATTTTTTTTTTGTGTGCAAAGAAAAACGAAATTTATAATTTTTTATTCGAAAAAAAAAGAAAAAAAGGTTTTCTTTCCCCCCTCCCCTCTCCTTTTACGCATGCTAACACGCATCACTACACTTTCTCTCTCTCTCTCTCTTTCTTTTTCTTCTTCTTCTTCTTTTATACCATTCATTCATTCATTCATTCATTCATCCTTTCTTTCTTTCTTTTTTTTTTCTTTCATCCTCCACACGTTGTTAAATAGCCTCGACGTAAATTGTGAGAGAAAAAAAAAAAAAATTTTTTTTAATTAAAATAAGAGTTACATAGAAAAGTGTGAAAAGACTTTTCCTCCCCTTCCTCTTCTCTCCCCCCTTTCCCTCCTCCTCTCTCTTTTTATCTTTTTAGTAGGGAAAAAAAGAAACCCCCCCCCTCCAGTTTTTCACTTCCCATTCTAACTTTTTTTTTTACTTTTACTTTTACTTTTTAAATAAAATCAAAGAACAAGAAGAGAAAAATAAAAGAGGATAAAAAAAAAAAAAAAAAAGAAAAAAGAAAAAGTATAAATTTTTCTTCTGCTTTTTTTTTCTTCTGCTTTTTTTTAAAAAGAAAGAAAGAAAGAAAGAAAAGTAGACGATGAAAAATTTATATAAAAAGTGAAAGAAGCAATAATTTAAAATGAATGGGAAAAAAATTAAAGTACCTCCTTTCCTTTTATAAATATTAAAACTAATAAATAAATGAAAATTGTTTGCTCTAGATAATAATAATAATAATAATAATAATAATAATAAGACAAAATAAATTGTTTGAATCGGACCCAAAGAAATTTTACAGAACAATTAGAGAGCAGAACATACAAAATGGATTCAGCACCTTAAATGTAGAAAAAATGGCAGACTTTTGGTCAAATATTTGGGAAAAATCTCATCCATTAAATAAGAATTCTACATGGATGAATAAAGAAAAAGAAGCACATGCCTGGATTGCTTCTTCAACAATGTCGGATGTAAGAATGGCGGATTTAGAAACATGCCTAAAAAACACGGCCAATTGGAAAAGTCCCGGATTAGATAGGGTACAAAACTTCTGGATTAAGAATTTTACAAGTACCCATAAGTATTTACTGGTATCCATAAATAAATTAATAATGGGACGGCAAGAAATGCCAGAATGGATAACAACGGGAAAAACGTATTTGCTGCCAAAAAAATCAGGAGCTACGGAACCGAAAGATTTTCGGCCGATAACCTGTTTGCCCACAATGTATAAAATAATAACAGCTATTATTGCTGAAAAGATTTATGGGCATTTAAGAAAAAATAACATTTTTCCTCCTGAACAATATGGATGCAGAAAAGGGTCTTACGGCTGCAAGGAGGTTTTATTAATAAATAAATTGATCATGGCCAGTGCAAAACAAAAGAGGAAGAATTTAAGCATGGCATGGATTGATTATCAAAAGGCCTTTGATAGTGTGCCTCACGAATGGATTATTGAGGCATTGAAAATATATAAAGTAGACCCTAATATTACAGCGTTCTGCGAGAAGAGTATGAAAAATTGGTGCACCCAGCTGGAAGTGCAAAAATACTCTTCTAGAAAAATATTTATAAAAAGAGGAATTTTTCAGGGAGATTCATTGTCGCCACTTTTATTTTGCATGGCTTTAATTCCTCTATCCAGACAGCTTAATATCAAGGATCAAGGATATGAGTTGGTACCGGGATGCAGGAAAATTACCCATATGCTATATATGGATGACTTAAAAATTTATGCCAAAAATGAAGAGGAGTTAAATAAAATGTTACGGACGGTTCAAACCTTTTCCTCTGACATCAACATGAAATTTGGGTTAGAGAAATGTGCCAGAATAAATATTGTCAGAGGAAAGTTAAAACAAAAGCAAAATATAGAAGACTCCGAAGAAGAACTTATTAAAGAATTGGACCCTGGATCATCATACAAATATCTGGGGATTGAAGAAAATTTTGGGATAGCCAACAAGGAATTAAACCTCGATTGAAAAGAGATATTTTAAAGATTGAGCTTATATTACAGTCGGACTGA